GGGGGGGGGGGGCCACTGATATTTGTTGTGGAGTATCACAGGCAAGTCTCTGAAATTTAAACAATAAAGGCGATCGTCGATAATACAGACACATTCTTCGCAAACATCCGGGATACTGAGTCAGTATTGCTGTACGACGAGCATGTCCAATCATGCAGCTGCCTGATTCCGTTTGACTAGTGTAATCACAATTTAGTTACTTTGTCATGTGACAAATTTCATGAGATATGTCCTTATTACCGAGAAATTTTAAATTGTGAAGGAGTCCAAAAGTAAAGCGGACCGGGAGCCGCATGCGTACGCTGAGCGACGCAAGCAAGTTTCACCCTCGGCGCAACTTGTCTATCTATCTCGGCAGCTACACTGATGTCTTGAGGTCTACAAGTTATGGTCTGCGATCCCTGGCCTTCCTTCAGCCGATGGAGGCGGGTATTATTGACGTGTCTAAACAGCCAAGCAGACAAAGCAACTTGTGAGATGTTATTTATTGCAATAAAGAATGTCAACTTAAAATTCTTAATATTGGTCTTAATTCGAGGAAAAGTACATTTCTTGGTATTCTCTCTCTCACACTTTGAATAACTATACGAAACGTAATACAGTAGCTGGTAGATCGCCACTAGTAATTCTTTGAGGTCTGAGCGACAAGGTCAATCCAGCAACACAAGCCATGATTTGGTGGGCGTGTGCCTACTTTAGCGGCGTGCAAACAATTCTGCTGCAGATCAAACGCAGGATGCATGGATGATTATTTTTGATCAATTTCATTTGCTGCTAAACAAATGTTTGTCTAAAGCACACATGAAGCTTCTGTGGCTGCGAAGCAGGCGCAAGAGATGCGTTAACAAAGGATAAACTTAACCCTTTAATAGGAGATACATTTTGCTATATCTCGGAGCTTATTTATGACCAAATGGGTTTATTCTACTCCTCAATATACCCAGAATAGCTGTCGGCGAGTATAGTATTCAGCAAATTCCGACTTCAAGTTATTCCTTCCCAGGACAACACGCTACCGGTATTCGAAATTTTCGATCATTTTCCAATCGCTTCAAGTGAAACGTACCTGCATTGTAGTTGATGGTCTACAATATATTTAGTAACAGCTATAGCCTTCGAGATGCTGGCTTGCGGCTGCAAGTGGGTCCCCTCAAAGCGATTGCAGCATTTTATCTCTGCGGTACATCGAAAGAATTGCATGAGAGATGTCACTTCGAATGTGGCTGGCTATTTCGAGCGGAATATTTGCTTTTGAATTACTTTCTTTTAGCGCAAGCATCCCTATAATACCATTGCTTCTCAAATTTTAGATCTTCTTTGTGCAATTGATGAGCCTATGCTAAAAAAATAAAGACTTTCTGCTCAAGGTTTAGAACAAAATTGAAGCTTTGAAGCTGTAATAGTTCCAGGGGGTCGGATCTACTGTGAGTGTCGCAGAAACAGCTGGGAGTCCCTATGTAATCCCAGCTTGGGAGTAAATCCTATCACGAGTTTTATCTCATGTGCTTTACGTCAATCGCGACGTTTCCGTGGCATCTTTGCCTGGTTGTTTGTGTTGTATTCCATTTACTATCACCCTTATTCCCTTGTAGCCGGCCGTTGGCCGCCACTACATTGCTACTTCCATTCTGCATTTCACCACCTAGCGCTCAAGTCAACAGTTTCGCGAGAACAAGAAAGCATATATCATGCGCGTGACGGTTGTCCTACTCGCCGCCATTGCGGTTAGCTTCGCCAGCGCCGCTATCAACGCTGATCAAAACTCTCTCTCGACGAAGACGTCGTTGGGTTTGGTAAATCCGATTGATGGTACTCTCGGCGACATCAACAACAACGGCAAGCGGTTCCTGCGCAGACAGAAGCCATCTGAAGACGACGATTCCGATGTTGGCGACAGTGATGTTGACGAAGAGAGAATTAACGCTTCCAAACTAAAAGACTTGGTCAACGGCAAAACACGTACCCAATTTACTCATTGGGGAGATCAAAAACTCTCGCCTTCGAAAGTTTGGGACAAGCTGAAGGGTCTCAGCGACACGAAACGCAAAATGGTTTACGATTGGTACTACAAAGACATCTACCGCAACGGCAATTGGCGCCGTTGATTACAGGTGCATCACAGCGGCAATTCTCGTCGTCGATTATAACTTCCGCGGAGTTGGCAGGTTTCGTATCGCTTACAGCGTACTTATAATCCACAAAAAATACAACGATCGTTTGACTTGGGCGAACAAAAGATAGATTGCAAAATGACTCACCATAGAGAGAGAGAGAGAGATTCAGTAACGTTTGTCTAAGGATCTCGTTTTCCTCCATTGAAATCTTATTATGCGGTATCCATATTCTTTGACTAGGGTTGCGGCGGGGGCTGGGATAGTGTGACGGCACCTTGCGCTGAGGAAGTAGCGCTTCCATTCGTATAATGAAGGGGTAGATTTATGATACTATCTTCATGTTAGTAAAATAGACCTAACCCTATGTAAAGGTCTGTTTGAGCTGTGATTGTGATAAAATGGAAGCGGCTTCCGCTCATCTTTGAGATGGTATACTTTCTGTGTCGGAAGCAACTTCAGTATTCCCAAATAACAATTGATGCAAAGTCAGATTGTTTAACCAATGAAAGATAGTCATAGAGTCAATATTCTCCAATAAATGAAGAACCGTGTACTAATTTTTGATCACAACTTAAGTAATGGTGATAAATTATTAGAAGACTCTCGGCGATACAAAATCTACAGTAAGACCTATATACTAAAAAAAAAAAAACATGACAAGATAATAGATACTACGACAAGACTAGATGTACGTGACAAAATTAATAATACTAACACAAGACGCAATGTACTATAACAAGACACAATATACTAAAACAAGACTCCCAATACTATCTTACTATACTAGCTTTACCTGTTCATGCAAGCATGCTGAGCTTTCACGAGTCGGCGTATCTTATTAAGTCTGATATATCGTGCCAGCGTGTCGATAGTGAGCGCATTCAGGTTGGTAATCGCTGCATCTTTCATCCAATTATCGACGTAGTAAGATACATACATCGATAATGTGGCCTCTGAGACGTCCCTTGGAGTCGGAATGCTCTTTTGAAGAGCAAAACCAACAACATCTTCCGCTATTAGCTTTGCAACACTGAGGTGACTGGGAAGGGATCCGATTTTCTTTCTTTCCTGTGGTGCCCATTCACAAATCGGCTTGAATAGATGACGAGCTGGGTCAGCTTTCCAGTACATTCGATACAAAGCAATCGTACTTTAAATCTTGTCATAGTACTACTTTAGTCTTGTTGTTTATAGTAGTTCGATCTTGCCGTTTGTACTAGTGATTACGATCTTGTCTTAGTACTTGCATTCGTTTTATTGCGTACTTTAAATTCGCATTTTTATACTCTTCATAACAAAAACAATATCAAACATTTTTAATTGTACTCTTCTTAACTTTCCGATTCCGCACCAAAGGTTTCGAGGAATCGAATGTCGGATGTCGGTTGCCGCTTGCTCCTGCTTGGCCTTCTTCTTGATTTCGTACGCCTGGTTCTTCTCCAAGAAGCGAGCATAGTAAATGACTTTGAATTCATCAAATCAATCCCAATCCACATATTCTGCAAACCTGACCAGTCCTTCCTTCGCCTCCGACATTTTAGCGTCGCGTATTTCCTTGCATTTTTCCTTCCTTGTTGTTGAACTGTTGCTTGAACTTCGTCTGAAGATAGAGTCGATATTTATCGATACGAACCCGCTCTTCGTAAACCGTGCGTGTACTCGCATCTTCCATGTCCTCCTTATATTGTGGGAGAAGTTTAAAGCTCTCCCGAACCGCAGTGTAGTTCTGTGCATTTTGCCACTCTTGGGGAAGATGATGGCTTTTTTCCGGATGCAGGAACAGTAGCAGCGCATGAAACCATTTCTTCGACAACAATTCGTGCTTTTCAGCCTAAATCAGCATAGCATTACCGATGGATACCTGCATTATAAATATTATTGGCGCGTACCTTGGCAAACGCGTGCTCAAAGAGGCCTAAATGAAGGTTGAGCATGGCCTGACATCCCTTTAGGCTTTGGTTGGGGTAAAACTGGCGCTCCTTCTGCTTCCCGTAGCTGTGCGCGAATATCTAATCAACAGCAAAATATTAGATATCATAATAATCTCAAACATATTGAATGTTAATTTATGGTACCTTGTAATTCCTCGAACAACTTGGCTGAGCGCTGGTCGCGCGGGAAGCCTACGCGTTTAGCGCGATTCTTTTCCCATGACTTCTTCCAGATCTCGCTGCGCGTCTCTGGCAGCTTTATGCCCTTGCATACCTTGATATGCTTGGAGATGTTAGTACAGGAGATCTTCCTGTCGCACTTCTTGCATGTCTTCTTCGGCG